AGGGTGGGGGTCGGGGCACTGCAGAGCCCGCTGCTCCCCCGGGTGCAGCAGATGGAGCAAATGGCTGTGTCCCTGGGAAAGGCGTGTTGGGAAGGAAGGGGCGGGCTGGCTTGTTTGCCACCTCCCCAGTAGCTCAGACAGCCCCTGCGGGCCCCGGGCATGGGGAGAGTCCCGACGCTCCGGGCCCATAGCTCCTAGCAGCAGCCTGGCCCGGAGCAGGGGCCTTTGGGGATCTCCAGGGGGACGGGCCAAGGACTGCAGGGCAGGGCTGGAGCAGGTGCCTCTGTGCTGGGGCAGAGCCACTGGGGCAGCTGGGCTCCCAGCTCGTCCAAACGGGCCTTCGGGCCACAGGGCTGTACTGCAGTGCCTAAGCTCACTGTCCTCCCCGAGCCAGGCCGAGAACCCAGGAGCACCTGGCTGGTGTCTCCCAGGGCGTGTCCTCCCCGTGACGTGGCTGGTCTAGAAGACAGGAGGCCCCCTCCTCGTGGCTGTGCAGTCCAAACCTTGCGGATGGTCCCTGTGCTTGGAGCCTTTGGCTGCAAGGGAGGGAATTGTTCTTCCCACTTTTCCTTTCCAAACCCCTGGGTTTTAATTCACCCGCGGGGAGCGCCCTCCGAACCCTCGCTCTCTGCCCCCTCCAGGGCAACGTGCTGCCCAGTACCGGAGCCCTGCGTGTCGGCTGGTGGCACGTGACGCACACGGGCAGCGGAGGCGGAGGGGGTGGCCCAGGTGTGCTATTGGCCCTGGAGCTCTGTTTGGGGCCGTGTGACGTAGTGGGGGGCTGTCTACTTAGTGGCCTTAGGCCCACTCTGGTGGGGCGTTCGCTGGTCGCTAGGCTTGGGCGGTGGCTGACCCCTACTGGCCTCTGTCTGTAAGCACGGCCCAGCGGGGGGGCGCCCTGAGGGCCCTCATGTCTCCTAGACATGACCAGGGAAGGGCTTTGGCCAAAGGACGGGTGTGGCGTGGGGAGGGGGCAGGGAGAGCGTGGGGAAGCGTGGAGGAAGCAGACTAACCAGTGTAGGGGGCTCAGGGGCCTATAACCCCCTTCTCCCAAGGGAACTAGGGCTGTCGGCCCATCCTCTTCCGCCTGCATCGGTCCTATGCTGGGCTGAGCCTCGGAGCAGCAATACACCCTCTCTATTCTACTGGCGAGTCACAGCTGGCCGCAGACGGGGGTGCAGGGTCGGGGCTCCCCGACGCGCTGTCACGGGCTGTCGCTCCGCTCTGCTTTCTGTGAGCAGCTCCGGGGGCACCTGCCTTTCCCACTGATAACAAAATGGGGGGGCGGGGAGAAGCCTTTTCTCTTCTGGTTTGTGCACGTTCCCTGCTTGGTCGGGAGTTCTCAGCCATCTGAGCCGTGTCCTCTTGTTCCTCCACTGCCTCTAGTTCGGCCTAACCCCCCTCTGGGATTTCGGTGCCTTTTGTCTCCAGGAACTGGCTGTGGAGCCACCCCAAGGACAAGCACTGTGTGCAGCTGGTGGGCTTCTACCTCAGCCAGTGGAGAGACTGGGACTGCGACCACAGCTGCTCCTTCATCTGCGAGATGCCCGCTGCAGGTGGGGGGCGCCCGGCTGGTCAGAGGCACCCTCCGGGGAATCCCCCTCTGGGATTTCGGTGCCTTTTGTCTCCAGGAACTGGCTGTGGAGCCACCCCAAGGACAAGCACTGTGTGCAGCTGGTGGGCTTCTACCTCAGCCAGTGGAGAGACTGGGACTGCGACCACAGCTGCTCCTTCATCTGCGAGATGCCCGCTGCAGGTGGGGGGCGCCCGGCTGGTCAGAGGCACCCTCCGGGGAATATTCCCAGTGTGTGCAACGTCCCGACGCGGAAGAGCTGACGCATGACTTTGGGGGACAAGAGGCTTTCTCTCCAGAGCCACGGCTGTAGTGGGACAGACAGATGGACAAAACTGGGGAATCCCCGCTTCTGTCATGCCGCGTGTGTGCGGACAGCTTCAGGGAGCCTTTCGGACCCCCCAAGGGCCCACACGGACGGACAGACAGCGCTTTGTGGAACCCTGGGGGGAGCCACAGATGCAGCCAGAGGGCCAGCGCTTCGGGGGCCTGGCCTGGGGCTGTGGGGAGAGCAGGGCCGGGATGGGCTGGGGAAGGCCCATGGGGACAGGCGCTCCTGCAGGCCTTGGTTAGTGTCTGATCCTTCTCTCCTAGACGCCTTCCCTGGCTCCGTGAGGCTGGCGCGTTTCCGCTCCCACTGCTATGCCTTCCACTTCCCGGCCCCGTGGGGCATGCGGACCTGGCCCCAAGCGCTGGCCTTTTGCCAGCAGTGGGGGGGGAGCCTGGCAAGTGTCGGAGATGAGGAGGAGAATGCCTTTCTGGCTGGTAAGGGGCCCCAGTGGCGCGAGAGCCCAGTGAAGGAAGGTCTCCCGTGGGCCAGCAGCAGAGGGAATTGGACTCTGGAAGTCTCCGGGTTTGTCTGAATGGGGGGCCCAGCAGCCGTTCCACGCAAGCTCCCCGTGGACACCCCATTTTGCACCGGGAGTCCTGTGTGCGCGTTGGCTTCGTCTGCCGCCAAAGTGGCTTAGGCTGGCCTGCCCCCTTGGGTGCGTCTACACGGCAGTCAGTATTCCCGCTGCGCCGGTCTCTGGCATCGCCAGTGGCTGAGAGCTCTGTGCAGCTGGCAGCAGGGTGGGGTACGGCTCGGCCCCACGGGGAGGCTGTGGCGCTGATGGGTGCTGGGCTGGCCCTCACGTGCCCCAGCTTCATTCCCCATGTCCGGGCAAGTTGCTTAGAGCCAGATTGGCAAAGGTATTCGGGCACCTACCGGTGCAGAGCTGAGCCCGGTTGCCATCCGAGCTGCACCTTTCAGTGCCTAAATACCAGGGGAAACCTGGGCCCCTGCTGCCCGTCTGTCCCGGCGATTCCAGCCCTGCTCCGCTCAGACAGGTTGGGGTTGGGAGAGGCTCTGTCCTGGGGTACCCAGCACGCGTGGCATTCGATTGGCAAAGGTATTCGGGCACCTACCGGTGCAGAGCTGAGCCCGGTTGCCATCCGAGCTGCACCTTTCAGTGCCTAAATACCAGGGGAAACCTGGGCCCCTGCTGCCCGTCTGTCCCGGCGATTCCAGCCCTGCTCCGCTCAGACAGGTTGGGGTTGGGAGAGGCTCTGTCCTGGGGTACCCAGCACGCGTGGCATTCAGTGGCGGGCGGGGGGGTTGGGTGGGCCCTCATAGGCACCCCCCCAC